GCCTTAATGTGTAATATATATATATTTTTTTTTTTTTGAGGGGTACCAGGGATTGAACTCAGGACCTTGCACTTGAGAGGTAGACGGCGGCACCACTGAGTTAAATCCCCGGTCCAACCTTAATATATTTTAATGTTAACCTTTACAAGCTTCCTAGAAGAGGGTGGGTATGTGGGTGTACTTTCAATTTTTAAATGTTGCATTTCAAATGTCTGCAAAATCCTTGCCTGAATGTTTACTATTCATTGGGAAGTTCCCTAATGTTTTTGTTGACTAATTTTAATTTTTCTCTTTAAGGGAAATTAGTCGAGCTGCAGGAAAGGCTGTGCCTGGAATCATTGATGAGGACAGCAGTGGAAGCAATGCTCAGTGAGTGTGTTCTGAGGCCTCCTAAGGAGGATGGGTTTATCATTTTAAAGTTTTGTTTTCCAGCCAGGTATGGTAATACACACCTGGAAACCCAGCACTCTGGGAAGCAAGTTCAAGCTCAGTCTCAGCAATTTAGTGACTTGAAATGGTATAGGGAACAGGGAAAGGGGACATAACTAGAACCTCTTCGTCAGGTCCTAGTCTCCTGCAAGCGAGCAATAACAGCACAGGGCAAATTAATCTGTAGACAGAAAATGAGACTTCGAGAAGCTGAGCTTTGGCCTGATCCATGTTACTCTGGGCTGCAAAGACATAAGCCCCACACCTTTATTCAATACACTGGGAGAGACAAATATAACAGGTGTTTCAGGACAGAGAGTTCAGTACATTGGTAAAACAAATGTAACAGAAGACTCTCGGCCAGCAGAAATCCTAGAACAATAAGGAACTATGCAGATGAAGATTTGGTTCCTCCTAGGATGTCTCCAGCTGGTGTAGTCCTGCTGTGGAGTATCTCAGCATCTAGAGACCCTTGAAGTCTTAGCTGTCACCTGAGAGGAAAATAGAGTTATGTCTTGACATGTTTGTAGCTGGGCTGTATACAGGAAAACTAGGCCCTAATCCCGCTCTTTCCCCAAAACTATGTAGAATCACTCCCGACAAGATGGGGATGTAAGCTGAGTGCAAAGGCCTTAGGTTCAATCTCCAGTTTTACACACAAACACACACACACACACACACACAGAATTCTTTTTCAAAATGAAAAACGTTTTCTGATTATTAAAGTAATTTTTACCACCCAGCAGGCAGTAATTTGTACAGTTCATAAGGAAGAAAAATTAGAAAAGTAGTTCTGAATGAGATATATATGTATGTGTGTGTGTATCCATATATATATATTATATATATATATATATCCTTATATCTCTCATATCTCCTGAGTATAATCATTCTTAACAGTTCAGAATTTGGATTTCTGGTTTATTTTTCATATGTAAACAAATAGCTGGGCATGATGGTGCCTACCCGTAGTGAGTTTCAAGTGCAATCTGGTCTACCTAGTGGGAATCTTATCACAAAACAAAATGAAATAGACATAAGTAAATACTTTATCCTTTTAAATGACTGCATTGAGTATATCTGAATTTATCTCCCTATCCCCCAGTTTTGGACATTTAAGTACTTTATAATATTTCACTTTGATAATACTAACATGAGTTGGGCATGGTGGCACATGCCTATAAACCCAGCACTCAGAAGTCTGAGGCAGGAGGATTTCCTCAAGTTTGAGGTCAGCCTGCTATATATAGGGTGTTCAAGGCCAGCCTGAACTATATAGACTCTATCTCAAAAAAACAAACAAAAAATATTACCTGACATTTATTGAGCATTTACTGTGCAGCAAGCATATATTACCTGATTTAATCTATGACAACAACTATAGAAAGTTGCAAAGGAGATTTAAAAAATCATGCCCAGCATGGTTTCTTGCTCTCTTTATTTTGACCGGGAATCGAACTTGTGCCCTTGCAAGACAAGTGGTGGAACCACTGAGCCAACCCCTGGCCCTGGTTTCTCTTATATGAGAAACCCAAAGTATAAATAAAGAGCAAAATAAAAGATAGATGAGTAGGCTGAGGTAGCTAGCCCAGGATACATAGTTCAAGGCTAGTCTAAACTACATAGTGAGACCCTGTCTCAAACAAAGGCAGATAATAGGAAACCTAGAGAGAGATCTTTGCAAATGGGAAAGGGACCAAGACATAGAAGAGGGTGGGAGGGAGGGGAGAGGAAAGGCATGTAAAAAGGATTAAGATGTATTATATACAGGTACTGTACCAATTCCTATGATGAACGTAACCCTTATGTGTGTAAACGTGTACTAATAAATGTAAAACTTTTAAAAAGAAACAAAAAACCTTAGTATTAAAAAAATAGCAACAGAGATGAACACCCAAATTCATATGGCTATCGTCAGAATTTAGATTCACACCTAGGCAGTCTTCTCCAGAGCCTGTACTTTGAACCCTCTGTACCATCTTGTTCTTGTAAACAACTTTATTACAAATAAAAAACCCAAGTGAGGTCCTGGGATTTAGCTCCACCTGCCTTGCAAGCACAAGGACCTGAGTTCAATCCCAGGTATCAAAAAAAAAAAAAAAAAAAAAACCCACACAGGAGCATCTTTTTATATTTTTGTGTGCGTGTGCTAATATTTTGTTAAGATCAGTTCTTAACATTAGGATTTCCAGGTCAAAGGTCTTCCAGCTGATTCACTGTCAAGTATAATACAATGTCAAATCACCCTACAGGTAGCTGGTAACATGGTCCCTATAAACATGCCCCCTTTTCCTCTCTCACCAGCACAGAGTATAAGTAAAAATTGCATCTAGTTCTTTAAAAAAATGTTTTTCCAGTACTAGAGATTAAATCCAAGCCCTTGTGCCGGCTAGACAAGGACTGTGCCACTGAGCTACATCCCCAGCCCGGTATCTCTGGCTTTTAATTTGTGTTTCTTTGGTTTTTAATCCTGGGAGTGGGTCTTCCCTGCACTAGATTATAATGTATTTAGCTGTGTTTGATTTTGGTACTTTTATGATTTCATTTTGAATACATTTTTAATCCATCTGGCTTATATTTTGAAGTGTGGCGTGAAAATGAAAATGTTTCTCCAAATAGCCAAAATCGTGCCACCCATCTTCAATAATTTGAAATGCCATTGTTTACTATACACTAATAACTCTCCCTCCTATGTATAGTTGGACTGATTCTAATCTATATCATTTGCATTTTACTTTTTGTCATTTGTTTTGAGACAGGGTCTTGCTGTGTGGTCCAATCCAGCCTTGAACTCACTGTGTAGCCCAGTCTCACTTCAAACTTCATGCCTCAGCTTCCTGCTCTCTACCACATCTGGCTATTTTTTATTATTTCTTCACAAATACTGTATTATTTTAATTACTAGAACTTGGCCACATACTCTTGTTTGGGGTTTTTTTGTTGTTTTTTGAGACAGGATCTTGCTAAACAGTTCAGGCTAACCTTAAACTCACTGTATATCCAAGGCTGTCCTTACCAGGCTGTAACATACACTTAACTACGTGAAAATGTCAACTTCTCTGGAGTAATATACCTCAAAGTAAAAAGGTAAACCAGGAAAGATATTTGCAACATACGTAAATCTTATACATGAGTAAGAAAAGCTAAGGAGCGGTAGCACGTGCCTATAATCCCAGCACTCAGGAGGCTGAGGCAGGAGGATTGCCACAAGTTTGAGGCCAACCTAGACAACATTGTGAGCTCCAGACCAGGCTGAATTACATAGTGAGGCTCTGTTTCAAGAAATAAGAAAAGACTAAGCATCAAAAAATAAAAATAAACCTTGCAGTGCAAGGTCCTGAGTTTGATCCCCAGTTCCAAAAACTAAATAAACAAACAAATATTAAAATAAAAATAAAAACCAGGAACAAGAAAAATTGACAGAGAAAATACAATTAGCTTATCTCCCCTGAATGCATTTAAGGAAAGTAGGGAAATGCCAGAGATTTAGCTCAATGGTGCCACTGCCTGCCTCGCAAGTTCAAGGAAAGTAGGGGAAGAGGGATTACATTGACATCTGCATGACTGCTTCTCTTACTTTACCTCTTCCTCTTCGATAGTCATTTGCTCATTTCCTTTTGTTCTGGGCCTGGAACTCATGGCTGCATCCCCACTTCCTGGGATACTGTTGGGCTAGGGGCAGATGGGGGAGAAGAGAGAATGTGGGACAAGTGTTGTGTCTGTCCCTAGAGGAAGATGAGTCTACTGAAGAGCTAGGGAAATGAACACCGGAAGGAAATGGTCTGGAGGAGAACTGAAGTCTGTACTGGAGATTCCTCATGGGTGCTTCCCTATAATGTTCCTTACCCCATGGTTTTTAACTTTATGTTCTAATCATGATCCTGTGTTTCTCCATTCTGAGAACACTCCTTTCCAACAGCTACCCCTGCAGAGCTCCAACTTTGAGCCAAACCCTAGCCCCTGCTATGTGGGTTGACCTTGCCCCAGGATCTGTACCCCATCCCGCACCCTCTCCAGAAGCACATTGCTGCAGCTCAGACTGATTCTCTGTGGGCACTCTGAAGTCTTTGTGAGGATAGTGGGGAGCAGAGGAGGGGCTTCAGGGTTATGTAGAAGTGGCCTGGGTGGGGTACATATGTGCCTGTATTCACATAGCATTCACCTGGTGACTTGTTCTCCAACAACAGACATTACTTTAGATTCTGTACCAGCCAAACGCAGGGGAAAGGAAAACATTTACCTGAAGACATAATTATGCAGAGCAGGCCCATGCAGAGCTCTGGGTCACTTCCTAGATGAGGCCTTCCCCTCCCCACTCCATCAGGGCTACTTTAGTCCTTTCAGTTATAATCATTTGCACTATACTATATTAGTTTACACTCACATTTTAAAATATATTTTACTTAACTCACAGCTAGACTTGTCCTAATTTTTGAGTTAATAAATCAAGGCTTAGAAGAAATTTTGTATTTGATGGTGAATTAAATAAATACTGTTGCTCATGAGACACTAACATTATTTTCAGACTTTTAAATGCATTTTTTAAAATGTTTGGATGTGATTCTTTAATTTTTTACAGGGCTCTCACCTTTGTCTATCCATTCGGTGCCACATTGAGTGTCATGAAACCAGCAGTGGCTGTTCTGTCCACAGGCTCTGTCTGCTTCCCGCTTAACAGACCCATTCTGGCTTTCTATTACTCGAAGGTACAGAGTTTCTAGGATATGGCTGCCTATGTCATCTTTATTATTGAAGTAATAAAAAGTGCCGTACAATTTTGTATATAAAGGATTTTGTATATTTTCTCACCGGTCTTCATGCCAGGTCTGTGAATAGATTGCAGGTATGTATATTTGACTCGTGGGAAACAGCGACTGATGGTGTCAAGTCCTGACCCTAGTTGTTTGTCAGTCAAAATCAAAAGCTTTCCCACTGTCGCATGAGGCTGCCTGCTGTATAACTCTAAAGTAATGTTTCCTCCTGTGTGTGACTCTATGCTTTCCATTCAGGAAAGTAGAGTTAACTATGCAAAATTGCCCAGAATTATGCTGCTGTTATTTTAGTTTACCCTGGAGAACTTATGAGAAGACTTGTCCAGTTCTCATACTAGGAACCCCACTGGAGTGTGAGCGCATATGGTGCAGAGATCTCATTGTGACGCCGCTCTTCCACTGCCTTTTGATTTACATTTTGCTGAATTTACCTTCACCTATTTACCAAGCACAGAATTCATGCACTGACCTTCCAGTTTTTTTTCCAGGGACATAGATGTTCCTAGTTCTTCACATTTTCTTTGTATGTAGGTATTACCTTTGGCTCCTTATTTAAAAGCTCTGACTTCATTTTTAAAGAAAGTATATAAGTGTCTATGATGTATTTCAAAGAGTTAAAATTCATCTAGCTATTATGAAATTATGGTAGTTTGTCTCTTCTAGGCAACTGGAAGTATTGTGTTAGAATTAAAGTGTTATTTCCAAGATGTGGAAATAGGGTAGTTTAAGTAAACTGTATTTATAGACACAAAAGTAAATGAGACACTATTTTAAGAGTCCTCTGGTGGTTAAATACTACATACAATTATGATTATTTGATTTCTTAAGCATATACCGAGATTTACCTGGCTTAATAAAATAGATTTTTATGGAGCATCCATAAATTTTTTGCTGAGTTTAGTGATTTTCCTGGAACCCATGAGATTATCTTGTGACCAGTGCCTAGCCATGTCAAGAGCATTTTCTCCTTTTAGGCTTTGAGTCCTGCCTTGTAAACACAGTCCGAGGGAGGTTGTTGCCTATCATCCCTAAACCATGAAATGAGCCACTGACACCAGAGAAGGGCCTGTATGCCATCCTTGAGAAAACTAGAGGGCCAGGCTAGAACTCAGGGGTTCTGCCTCCTTCTCAGGACTACTGCTTTATCATAATTCCTTTTTTTTTCCTCTCTCTTCTTTTCCCTTCTTTTTATTCTTTGATTTTTGTAGTTATTGTTTGTTTGTTTGTGTTTGTGTTTTTTTTGAGACAGGGTCTTGCCATGGCTACCTAATTTGGGTTGGCCTCGAACTCACTATATAGCCTAGGCTGGCCTCAAACTCATATCAACCCTCCTGCTTCAGCTGCCTGAGTGCTGGGATTATAGGCATTACCACTATTTTTATTTGTTTGGTGATATGGGGGATTGAACTGAGGACCTTTACACTGAACTATATCCTCAGCCCTTTAAAATTTATTTTTATTTTTAAACAGTCTCACTATGACACTAAGTTGCCCAGGCTGGACTTGAATTTGGGTATCACCGCACCTGGATGTTTTTTTTTAGGGGGGGGTCTGGGAATTAAACTCAATATACAATTATACTTAGTGAAAATATCTTTTAGAATAAAGATGAAACAAAGACATTTTCAGGAAGACAGAACCAAAGTTTTTCAAGAGCGTTAAACTTTAAAAGTTAAACTTCAGGGGGCCGGGGATTTAGCTCAATGGTTCGGTGGCCTGCCTTGCAAGCGCAAGGACCCAAGTTTGATCCCCGGTACCAAAAAAAAAAAACCAAAAAAACAAAACAAAACAAAAGTTAAACTTCAGGTCAGGTATGATGGCACATGACTGTAATCTCAGCACTCTGGGAGGGTGAGGCAGGAGGATCACAAGTTTGAACCTACCCTTGGCAACTCAGTGACTTAGACCTGTCTCAAAATAAAAAGTTAAAGAAAGAAAGAAGAGCTGGGATGTATCTCAGAGTGAAAGGCCTGGGTGCCACTCACACACACACGAAAGGGTTGTACGTAAGAGTTTTTTATATATTTCAAAATGCTGTGTTTCATATGTTGACAAGTTATAAAAACAGTGAATGAACTTGTTTCAAGCCACATGTGGTGGCACATGCCTGTAATCCCAGCACTCAGGAGGCTGAGGCGGGAGGATCGCTGTGAGTTCGAGATCAACCTGGGCTACATAGTGAGTTCCAGGTCAGACTCAACTACATAGTGAGACCCTGTCTCAGAAAACCAAAAAAACAAAACAAAACAAAACTTGTTTCACTGAAACCTGACCAGTTTATAGTCAGTTTTAATACTTAATTTGATGGGGAAAAAGAACTTTAATTCATTAAAATGACAGATATTTCTGTTTTTATTTGAAATTTTTTCCTAAGTTGGGCGTGACCATGAGATCACGGCCAGCCTGCACTATATAGTGAGTTCAAGGCTCACTTGAACTACATAACAAGACCGTCTCAAAAATAAATAAATAAATAAATAAATATTTTCTTATTAACAGTTCATATTTCTGTTTCTGAGCTTTAGTTTCTTGTTTGGATCTTTAAGTACTTTTTTGTTTTGGGTACTCATAAATATCTTTAGTTCTATACAAAATACTTTTTATTATTTATCTTTTTTTTTGAGACAGTGTCTCACTATGTAATTCAGGCTGGCCTAGAACTCCTGCCTCAGCCTCCCAAGTGCTGGGATTACAGGAGTGCAGCACCATGCCCAGCTATTTTTTTTTTCCCCTTTAAAATTATGACCTTCATTTATTTGTTTTTCTTTTTTTTTCCAGCACTGGGACTCAAACTCAGAGTCTTGTACTTGCCTGGCAGGTGCTGAGCTATATTCCTGGCCCTGACACTCATTTTTTTGTTTGTTTATTTGTTTGGTACTGGGGATTGAATTCAGGACCTTGCACTTGTGAGGCAGGTCTGGTGCAACTGAGCTAAATCCCTGGCCCCTGACCTTCATTTATTATGTAATTAACTAACAATGGAAAAAGCCTGTAGAATCAATTTACTTTTGTTAGAAACAAATAGACCATGGAGAATTGTCTAAAATAAAAGGCAGGGCTGGGATGAAGCTCAGTGGTAGATAGAGTACAAGGCCCTAGGTTCAATCCCCAGCATCACAAAAAAAAGAAAACAAAAAATGCATTGAAATGAAAGACAGGTTAAAGTGTAATTGTGATCGCAGGAGATATTTCTAGACTTAAAATCCTGATGTGAATTGACACTTATTAGTAAATAAGACAGTTGCTAACCTGATTCTGATGATGGATGTTTGGGACTGTGAAATACGCAGTGTATTTTATGTTCTGAATATCAGACACTGCTGTTTCCTCAACAGAACCAGGGGGGGAAGCTGGCAGTGCTTGGCTCATGTCATATGTTCAGTGACCAATATTTGGATAAAGAAGAAAACAGCAAAATCATGGTAAGTTTTTCCTTTTTATCAAATTAATGTACATTGAGCTGGGAAGGTAGCTTGGTGGTTGAAACACTTGCCTGGTGTTCATTGGACCCTGGGTTTGGCATTGCAAAATTAGAAAAATTTAAAACTAAAAATAAATTGATGTAAATTGTGAAAGTTTGATTTTCATGTCATTTCAAAAGTCCTTGAGGAAGGAGGATCCCTGTGAGTTCGAGACCAGTCTGCACTACATAGTGAGTTCCAGGTCAGTCTCAACTATACAGTGAGACCCTATCTCAAAAAAAAAAAAAAAAAAGTCCTTAAATGTGCATTTATTCACTTAAAACCAGCAATTTAGAACCCATCATATACCAGGCACTAAGATTATAAAGTTGTATCAGGCATTCCCTGCTTTGAAAAAGATGATGGTACACTAAGAGAGCACAATAGATTAATTAGTAAAGCCAGAAAGATGTTTCTAAGCCTGCCAAGTTGAGATGAGAACAGTCCTAGAGGAGTGGTAAGGAGGTTCAGCAAGGCCCTCAGGTGGAAAGCCAAGGAAGTTGAACTTTTATCTATCTGTCTGTCTATCTATCTATCTTATCTATTTATTTTTTTTCTGGTACCAGGTATCAAACTCAGGATCTTGCACTTGCCAGGCAGGCGTGGCACCACTGAGCTCCATCCTTGGCCTTGATACATTTCAGATATATATAATGATAATATTCATCACAGGGGATTTATGCCTGGCCATGATATATCTTGCTTTGGGAGCTTGAACTTTATGAAGGCTGTGTGAAGATATTATAGGGTTTGGAGCAGCCTCTGTTGTGTGGAAAGTGGAAGGGAAGAGGCATCCCAGAGCCAGTTAGGAGCCTGGAGTCAGCCAGGCAGGAACAGGTAGCGCTGAATTCTGTGGTGAAGGGGGTTGGAGAAGAGGGCTGATGGTGAGAACAGTAGTTGAGAAGGGCTGTGCAGAGGACTGGTCACTAGCTCATCGCGGTTCAGATGGAGACTTTGAGGTTGCCCTGTCCAAATAGTGCAAAAGACACATGTCTTATGAAGGGTGACAGCAGGGAAACAACTGTCTTCACAGAACATGCCAGAGCTGTACATTGTAGAGTGCCAGTGACTCACTTGACAGAGGAAGATATGTGCACTGAGCTTTTTCGTCGGTAAATGCATTCCTTCAGTGTCGTAATCATGACCTTGGGAAGCTGAGTAAGGTCTCCTTCCTGTGGAATCCATACAAAGTTCCAGTGCCTCTAGATATATTTAGGAGGTCTAGATAGTCTTCTTTGAATCTATTCTGACTGTCATTACCTTAAACAGGTTGCTTCGGGACTGTGACAAAGTTTTAGTAAACTTTGACTTGTGATTATGTTAAGTTTTCATATGATTTCACCAATAGAAGACTAGCTATCTGGTTGTTTTTTGTTTGTTTGCTCATTTGTTTGTTTTTTAATGGCGCTGGGGATCAAACTCAGGACTTGCGCTTGTGAGGCAGGTGCTGCACCACTGAGCTAAATCCCCAGCCCTAGCCTTCTGGTGTGAATTGCTGATGTAGTCTTTTTCCCTTTTTTTTTTTTCATATTATTTTAATATTCTGATCTTAAGGAAAATAATTTTAATCTTCAGCTTTCTCAAATAATCGGGTGTCTAATACTGTGTTTTGTTTTGTTTTGTATTTTTAATCTAGGATGTTGTTTTCCAGTGGCTCACAACAGGAGACATCCATTTGAACCAGATTGATGCTGAGGACCCAGAGGTAGGAGGCTGTGAATCATTAGAAAACATTGAAATGAAAAATGAGTCCAATGTCTCAAACAGTTCCAAAGGAATTTATCTTTGTCTTATCTGTAAGACCTATGGAGCTGAGTATGAAGAGGCAGGTTTGTAATTCCGGCTCCTCAGGAAGGTGAGGCAGGAGGATCACTAGTTGGAGACCCCTGGGCTACTTAGCAAGACTCTGTCTGAAAATAATATTTAAAATGGGCTAAGGCCTAGCATGGTGGTGCACACCTGTAGTTCCAGCATGTGGCAGGCTGAGATAGGAGGATTGCCATGAGTTGGAGGCCAACCTGGGCTATGAAGTGAGTTCAAGACTAGCCTGAACTACAAAGTGAAACCCTGTCTCAAAAGCAGGGATGGGCAAGGATGTAGCTAGCACCTCATGGGATCAGTCATACAAGAAAACAGAAGGGCTATACCCACCTTCCAGAAATAGAAGAAATTCTGTCAGAAGCATCAGAGGAAACTGCAAAAAGGGTTTCAAGGTTCAGAGCTGCCAGATTGTAACAAAAAAGCTAGGAAATGGGAGTTTACATCCTAAAACCTAGTTGTGCATTTTTAGAGTAAACAAAGCAAAATATGTTATATATAGTTTGAAATAAGTCTTCCCAAGTTGGTTTGCCAGCAGCTTTTTTAATCCTTATCAGTGAATGGTACTAAAAAAATTAAAAGTAAATGTGTGAATACTTTAATATCCAGCTTGTTTGTTAATTCGCTCAATACTGTACAAGTTGGTCTTATGATGCAGTGGTAGCATTTCAGATTATTTTTCAAAGAATACTGTTTATATGCATTGTTTTTGTGTTTCAAACTAAAACAAGCAGTTTTGTACCAGCTGTGATGCTATGCATACCCTATGGACTTTTTTTTTTTTTTTTTTTTTTTGGTACTGGGGATCAAACTCAGGACCTTGCGCTTGCAAGGCAGGTGGCAGAACCACTGAGCTAAATCCCCAGCCCCCTATGGATTATTTTTTAAAAACCTCTGAAGATTTAAATGGATTCAACAATTATTATTACTTGCTTTTGCATTTTAAAGGCATTTTTAAAAAATCTACTTCCCTTAGCTGGGCATGGTGGTGTACGCCTGTAATCCCAGCACTCGGGAGGCTGAGGTAGGAGGATTGCTGTGAGTTCGAGACCAGTCTGGGCTACACAGTGAGTTCCAGGTCAGTCTCAACTATATAGTGAGACCTTGTCTCAAAAAACAAATCAAAAAACCAAAAAATCTACTTCCCTTATAGGTTTTGCAACTAGTGGCTATTTTTAAAAAGCCTCTCCCCTTTGGGTGTAACACTATAATTTTTAAAGCAGGGGGAGTCTCTTTGATTGGAAGAAATCCCCCAACACACTAGGAATGGAACTCCTGGTTTACTTAGAGGGCGAAAGTGTTTGAAACACCACACGTTGCTGGAAAGAGCATTTCTTTGTTTATACTGTCAGCTTGGGGTTTTTGTTGTTATTATTGTTGTTGTTTTGCTTTTAAAAAGTTTGAGGATTGGGAGGGGTTTCTTTGTTTTTTGTTTTTGTTTTTGTTTGGCACTAGGAATTTAATCCAAGGCTTTCACACTAAGTTATATCCCTGGCCTTTAAAAAATGTTTCATTTTTACTTACCTTTTTTTAAAAACTTTTTTGTTTGTTTGTTTTATTTTGTTTTTTGGTACTAGGGATCAAACTCAGGACCTTGGGCTTGTGAGGCAGGTGGCAGAACCACTGAGCTAAATCCCCAGCCCTTTTTTTTGTTTACTTTCTAAAACAGGGTCTCACTATGTAGTGCAAGCTGGTCTTGAACTCACTATGTAGCCCAGGCTGGCCTCAAATGCATGGTGATCCTCCTACCTCAGCCTCCTAAGTGCTAGGATTATAGGCATGTGCCACCACACCTAGCCCTAAATTTTTTATTTAGTATCTGTCATAATTAACAACAGTCTTCTAGCAATGGACATTTAGCTTTCTGGTCTTTTACTATTACCATCATGGAGTCTGTGTCATTATTCAGGGCTCTCAACACTGTTGGGAGATGTCCTTGGCCAGGAGACAAGGCTTGGGTCTAGTGTGTGAGGGCAAGGGCATCCATGCTGGTATCACAGGTGGTCGTGCCTCTAACAGGACAGACAGCAGATGACCTGGCCCGGATGCTACAGGTAGTAGTGGAAGTTTATATATTTTACAGTTGCCTATATTTGTCACTGAAATAGAAAACCCATCTGCTAATGTTGTGTAAGAGAACCTTATTTGGCTTGTTGAAGTGACACAAGGGGAGTTGCCTTGCAGAATGGGAGCGTGAATGGACTATTGTAATAGAGCTGATTGCTGGTTCTCAAGGTGAGAGATCATGAGGCTGAAAGGAGTCCAGTAAGCATGATTGCTCCTCTCCGGCTGTGTTCAGCTGTGTCACTTACCTGCGTGAGTGACTGGAGAGTTGGACTTAGCCAGTTTGTGGCTTAGCCAAGTTTTGTTCCTTTCTTCCTAAAATGGCTTATTTAAGGGTTAGTTGCCAGTGATCATGAAATCTCTACCAAAAGAGTATTAATGTGGCAAATTGAGAAGGAGCTGGTGGAGACTTGACTGAACAAACGCTTTTCCTGTTCTACTGAAAGGAGCCTCTTGTGACTTTCAGATCTCTGATTACATGATGCTGCCGGACACCGCCACTCTGTCAGAGCGGTTACGAGTGTGTCTCCAGGAGGGCGATGAGAACCCATGTGACTTTACCACCCTGTTCGACTTGTCTATTTACCAGCTGGATACCACCTCCCTCCTCAAAGTCATCAAGTTAGTACCTGATGCTCTCAGAGCTGCAGTGCGTCCCTTCTGTGTTTGGTTTAAAAACATTGCTCAGGGTCAGGAGCGGGGTCACGGAAAATGTGGTAGGCAGAATGCATTCTCAGGTCTGAGATAAGGTCAGAGAGAAAGCAGGGTGGAGGTACATGGTTAGCACAGAGGACCTAGCCCCACAGACCTCAGCCCCCACCATTCCAGGCTCTATACCAGCCCTTTTTTTGTTGAGTCCAGGACCTTTTCAGATTTTAACACCGAAATTCATGAGTCTCAGCTACCCCTCAGTAAACGATGTAGTTGGTCATCCTGCAGGCATTTAGGCTGTTACGTTACTGAATGCTTTCAGCAGCCCTCTCAGCCATTAGTTTCATTTCCACATGAGAAACCTGAGGTTTAAAGAAGGAAAAGCAGTTTTTCCAAAGTGGGATCAGGGGGCTGGGGATGTAGCTCAGTGGTGCTGCTGCCTGCCCCGCAAGTGCAAAGTCCTGAGTCCGACCCCCTGTACAAACAATCAAAGTGGGATCAGGAATTTAAAGCCAGGTAAGCATGACTTTCAAGCCAGTGCTTTCTCCTATTTTATTACCTATTTCTTTGTTTTCCATCCCTGATAGCAGGATCAGGGAATAACATTTTGGAGCATCTTTGGCCTGGCACAGAATCTACATCTGAATAAACCAAAGACTAGAGCTACTTAGGATACAGCTATAGATATTGTCTACCTACCCTGTACTTAGGTTCAGAGTTGAACAAAACTGAGTGCCTACTATGCCAGGCGCTATGCCTGACACACCCATTTTTACACAGGAGACATCCCAAAGCTCTGTTACAAGCTTACTGTGCAAACCCTGAGTGTGAAGGATAAACTGGTGGCAGGGGCATAACAAAGAAGGGGAATTTGATTCTGACTGAAGATCTTATGAAAGAACTGCTGTTTTAGCTAAAAATTGATTATGTCAACAAATATTTCAGGCCAGTATCTGCTTAATACTGTGTGCTTTCAGGAGTGAGAAGGATTTTTGGAGGTGGATGGTGCGTTGGGAGAGAGCATTCTGCATTGTGCATTGAGGTCACTGAGCAAAAAAGCACTGGACATTCTATGGCTCGTGTTTTCAGGCAAGGGAGTAGCATGAAGCTCAGGCCAAGGCCAGATAAATGAGTGGGAACCAGCAACACCTCTAGTGGAGATGCTTGAATCTGTTTTCCAAAAACAGCCAAGACAATTGCTTGCAGCAGTTTGTATAATTATTTGGAATCAAGAAAAGTGGGTGTGAAGAAAGCAGTTAGGAGACATGTAGTTGATGAGGAGGGTGGAAAGCTGGGGCTAGTAAGAGTGGTAGCTGTGGGTTTAGATGTTTAGGGAGAAAGAATCCGTGGGACTGTGTCATGGAAGCCTCGATGGACAAGTCCAAGACTGATTTCTTCCTGGAGCTCTGGGAAGCTGGTAATGCTGCTAACTGGCACCAAGAATGTGGGAAGAAGAAAGAAATTGGGACAATGGCATACGCCTGTAACCTCCGTGCTTGGGGGCTGAGGCAAGAGGATTACAAGGTCAAGCTCAGCCTAAGCAGTTTAATGACTTTGTGAGACCTTATCTCAAAATAAAATACTAGACAAGGGCTGGTGATTATAATTCAGTGTGAAGGCCCTAGGTTCAGTTCCTAGTGGAAAAGCAAGGAAAGAAGGCAAGCAGGCAGGTAGTCAGGCAGACAGAAAGAGACGAGAGAGAAGGGAGAGAAGGGAAGAAGAGAAATGAAGGAAGGAAAGATAAATGGTTTCTCTCCAGGACACTCTTAGTGTGCTATGGCAGAGAGTGATCTGAGCTTGCAAGGCAGGCGCCATGCTGCTGAGCTGAATCCCTGGCCCAGAATGCATTTCTAATAGGGTGGTCAGGGTGGTGTCACCTTGAGAAGATAATATTTGAGCAAAAACTTGAAGGAAGTGAGGAAGTGAGCCATGTAGATACCTGAGGGAAAAGCACTGGGCAGAGGAGACAGCCAGTCCAGAAACTCCCAAATGGGAGGGTGTCTGATGTGTTCGAGGAAGATCCAAAAGGCCATTGTGACTGCAGCAGAAATGAAGATGAGAAGATGAGAAATAGTGGAGTTTGTGGGTACATCAAGCATAGCCTTGTAGGCCTTCATGAGAACTTGCTCAGCCTTTACTCTGGGTGGGAAGGGAAGAATATCCCCTGAGCATTTTGCACTTCTTTAAAGCGAGGGAGCTAGATGAAGGAAGGAAAGGAATCACAGGACTAAAGGGAAGCAATCACAGGACGCCAGGAATGAGATGATGCTGGCTCCAGCAAGAAGTAGCAGTGAGATAGTAAGGAATGGCGGAATTCTAGATTCATTTTGAAGGCAGAGGCAACATGATAGATATGCTAAATAGGTGGGATGAGGGGATGAGCAGGAAAGGCAGCAAGGATGAGTGATTAGAAGGATGAAGTTGCAAGAGCTGGGCTGGGAAAGACTGTGAGGAGATTTGGCAGGAAGAGCTGAAGTTCAGATTGAGGTAATCTTGTAGAGATGTCTGTAAGATATCCAGAGGATGTTGAGTGGCTATTGTTTATATTAGCTGGTGGTCAGAAGAGATATTTGGCCAGAGATTTAAATTTAGGAATTTGGGGATACATATATATTTCATCTGAAGCACAACCCCACCCCACCCCTCCTTTTTTTTGAGTCAGGGTCTCACTCTGTAATTGAAGCTGACCTCAAACTTGTGGCAATCCTTCTGCCTCAGCCTCCTGAGTGCTGAGATTACAGGTATGTGCCACCATGCCCAGACCCCTTTTTGGGGAGGAACTGGGGCTCAAACTCAGGGCCTTACTCTTGTGAGGCAGGTGTGGCGCCACTGAGCTAAATCCCTGGTCCATCCATCCCATTTTCATATCTATAAAATTGGGATGAATCTTACAGTGGATAATGTGTCGGTTTAGCTGGCATCATTTTCTTCTCCTTCTCAGTAAACCTTAAAAAATGAGGTGTGTTAGGTTTGGTAGATTGTGAGACTGGGTGCAATATCATAGACAGTATTTAAAGGCAGGAGACTAGATGAGCTCACCAAGGGTGCCAGGGTGGACACAGAAGAAAAAAAAAGACCTGATACTAAGCCCAGGAGCACCCTAGGATTTAGAAGTTAGGAAAAAATGGAGAACTGAACAAAGGAGATGTGAAAGGAGCAGCCAGTGAGATGAAAAGAAAGCCAGTTATGGTGCCTAAGAACCAAGTGAGAGTGTGATCAGCAGTGTCGGGTGCTGCTAGCAGGTCACATAAAGTGAGGCTGAGACTTCAGCATTGGACTTAGCAATGTGGAAGTCAGATACCCTGAAAGGATGTTGTTAGTGAAGTGGCTGGGATGAAAGCTTACGTGGAATTAGTTTAAAACAGAATAGCACCTGGACATGCTGGTGCTTGCCTGCAATCCCAGGTGCTCCAGAGGCTGAGACAGGAGGATCTTGAGTTTGAGGACAGCCTAGACAACATAGCAAGACCAAGTCTCGAAAACAACAGGGCCGGGATGTTGCTCAGTGGTGCCACACCTGCCTGGAAATAACAGATGCAGACAATTCTTTCGAGGTACTTTGCCACCAAGAGGAACAAAGCAAGGGTGAGGACAGGAGATAGTACCTAGATGGAGGAAGTAAGACCTGGAAGTTGTGTTTCAGACGGAAGGAGTCAAAAGATTTTTTTTTTTTTTTTTTTTTTTTTTTTTTTTTTTTTTTTTTTTTTTTTTTTGGTACCAGGGATTGAACTCGGATCCTTGCACTTGTGAGACAGCAGCGAAACCACTGAGCTAAATCCCCGGCCCACAAGATATTTTGATATTGGCGAGAATCTTCCTGTACAGAGAAAGATGGATAATGTACAAAAGTATGAGAATGGTTGTAGGGAGTGTGACGCTGCACATCTGTCATCCCAGCACTCCGGGAGGCTGAGGCAGGAGGAACATGCGTTTAAACCCAGCTGGGCAACTTAATGACTCAGTGGGCCTGTCATAAAAAAGGGCTAGGGATAAGAAGGCCTGGGTTCAATCCCCAGGGTGGGGGGCAAGAAAAAACAAGGAGAAAAGAAGGTTAACTTTTAGATAGGAGCATGGATTATGTGTCTAGAAAAATTATCTGTGTTCCTAAATTGCTCTGGATGGGCTCAGATCTTCCAGAGTGGTGCGATTACTGTCGTGCACCACACGCTCATCGGACAACTCTCTTAATTGTATTTGTCCTTCATACATAACAGGTGGTAATTACTGGCTTCTGTGTTTATATAATGCTCTTGGATGTTTTTGTTAGTAATATTTTTTAAACTCTTTTCTGAGTTAGAATTGTTAGGCTTTAACTCTTTATATCAACTAAAGGGTATTCTAAAGTAACTTCATTTGTTCATCCCCTGTTTGTTAGTCCCTGTCTTAGTTACTTTTCTGTCCTTGCTGGTGCAAAATATCCAACACCTGAGTTAAAGGGGGAAGCATTTATTTGGCTCACAGTTCATAGATGTTTCAGTCTATAATCATCTGGCTCCAAGGCAGGGTGGCAGAGGGGCAACAATTTATGGGGCGAGAAGACAGCAAAAGCAACAAGGGACCTTGACAGTCTTTCTGCTCCTTTTATCCCATCCAGATTACTGGAATTAAGTTGTTGCCAAAGCAATCACTCATGTGTAGTGATTTAGTAATCACTTGCCTTTAATCCCAGCATCTCACATTCCAGATTCAGCCACCTCTGAAAAAGAAGGCCCCACCTCATCTGCATAAGGCTTTGGGGAACATCTAGACACAAACCATCACAGTCCCTGTGGGTATGAGGGAGAGACAAGCATGGAATCTGTGCTCTCAGAATCCATGGTCTAATGTGTTGGAGACCGAGACATGATGTAGTGAAAACGCAGTGCCACAGTTTGAGCCAGAGTATTATGGAAACAAAGAACAGCTCAGCCACATTTCCTAGATTTGAGTTTAGCTCTGGCATTTATTATTTCCATTCTATACACACTAGCCTTCTAAATTAGATTCTGTTGGGCCAGGGATTTAGCTCAGTGGTGCTGCTGCCTGCCTCACAAGTGCAAGGTCCTGAGTTTGATCCCTGCTACCAAATAATCAATAAAATAAATTAGATTTTGTTTTAAGATTAGGTTGTTGTACAAGCTTGTAAAGCTGACACTCTTGGAAGCTGAGGCCAGAGGATTGCAAGTTCAAGCTCAGCCTGGGCAATTTAGCACGACCCTGTCTCAAATGAAAGGAGGACTGGGGATGTATCCTCAGTGACCTGCTTCGTCTCTTCCCCCTGCTGCAGTGCAGTACCAATAGTAGAAAAGTGCCCGAGACAGTAGATATTCAGTAATAGCTGTTGAATGAATGAACACACAGAAGTGTATAGTATCTACAGATCTGTTGTTTTGCTGGAAGCAGACTTCAAATTTGACTCCTGTCTCTAGGTGGCAAAAAACAAACCCGATGAATTATGTGAGTCACATGGTGCATTGGATAAAAACCAAAAGGCTATATAGAAGAAACCTGATATGAAACTCGAAAGACAGTTTTCCTTTCATTTCTCAATAAATAACAGTTAATTATACATTTTGCGTATTTTTCTAAAATAGGGCTGAACCACCACCTTTATTTTTTTTAGTTCTGAAAAGTGAACCCAGAGCCTTTACACTGAGCTACATCCCTATCCCTTTTAATTGAGACAAGATCTTCATTACATTGCCTAGCTGAACTCAAACTTACAATCCTCCTACCTCAGCTCCCTAGAGTGCTGGTCTTACAGGTGAGCACCACCGCACCTGACTTGAACCAGCATCTTTGATGGAGTACCATACAGCATGGTCACTTAGGTATGTACTGTTCTAGCTCACCTTGATCCTTGCTTTTTTGTTTTCTTATTCACACAGGGCTCATGAGCAGCTAAATGTGAAACGTGAACCACTCCAGCTCATCCAGCCTCAATTTGAGACGCCACTGCCTGCACTTCAGCCTGCTGTGAGTAGGTGTTTGGGGTCCTGCTGCAAAGCCGCACTGTTTATTCTCCCTTCATCCATTGGGGCCCTCACTACACATCCTTCCATGTGCCATTTGTGGTGCTCCTTATGGAGTCGTAGTGCTTGGCTTCTAACTTAAACTGTTAGTATTCCATAGGGACTTCCATGCGGTGAGCTCAGTTCCTAGCTGAGGATTCAAAGATGTGGACTTTTCTGGCTATTAAACACTTTCCAGCCAGGCATGGTGGTGCACACCTCTAATCCCAGCACTCTGGAGGCTGAGGCAGGAGGATCCTGTGAGCTCCAGGCCAGCCTGGGCTACAAAGTGAGTTCCAGGTCAGTCTCAACTACATAGTGAGACCCTGTCTCAAAAAACAAACAAACAAACATTTTCCATCTTGTGGGGCAGGAAGGCTTATATGAGAGTGCCTGGGTAAAGAAAAAAGCTGGCTTGGGATGTAGCTCAGTGGTAGAGCACTGGCCTAGTGCTGCATGAGGCCCTGGGTTTGATCCCCTGCATGAGAAAGCAAGAGAGAAAGAGAGATAAGGAAAGCTTTGTGTTGACTTCCAGGTATTGGCCACTCAGCCTTATAGCACAAGTCTGACAGCCCAGAGGATAGACAGGTATGGACAGGGTTTTCTTCTCAGTACCAAGGATCAAACTCAGGACCTTGCACTTTGGAGCCACTGAGCTAAATCCCCAGTCCTAGGACAGGTTTGGTTGTTTGTTTGTTTTGTTTTGTTTCTTACATTCTGGTCCAGCATTAACCTGCCCTATTTTTTCCTCTTCCAGTGCATTCTGCAATGTTATGAGCCAGTTGGCTTTAACTTGCTAGATTGCAACTGGCTGTGATGGGAATATTTACATCATAGAAAATGGAAAATATGAGAAATTAGATTTTTTTACTTTGTTTTGTGCTTTTCTTTTTTTTTGGTACCGGGGATCGAACTTGGGTCCTTGCACTTGTGAGGCAGGAGCAGAACCACTGAGCTAAATCCCCGGCCCAGGTTTTTTTACTTTGTTTTGAGAGCTGGTAGTAAAATACCATCAGAGCACTGGTTTACACCTATGCATTCTGATTCTAAGTTCAGTGCTTTCTACACTAATCTATATTTGCTTCCTCAAATAATTTTTGTCTCTAAAGAACTCATAATTAAATAAGGAACCAGTTGTATAATTAAATGATCCACACAAACCAAAGTCTTCAGCTGTGTATCGCTGTGCTCAGTTAATCGGCGTTGATGTGTCAGCTTGGTCAGTTTAATGGTGCAGTTAGAGCTGGTTCCATTGATTGCTTGCAGCATGGTCTAGCTTGACCTGGGTCTAATGGGTGAGGGCTAAAGGAGAAGATGGGAGTTTGCGTGGTTTGAAGTAGGGTCAGGGCTGAGTTGCCCTCCAGTTGCCCCTGTGTCTCAGCGCTCTTTTTTTTTTTTGAGACAGGGTCTCACTGTGTAATTGACACTGACCTGGAACTTACTATGTAGCCCAGGCTGGTCTCAAACTCACAGTGATCCTCCTGCCTCAGCCTCCCCAGTGCTGGGATTACAGGCGTGCTCCACCAGCATGGCCACACCACTCTTAATTATGGTTTTAGATAATCTTATGAAAGACTCTTTCCTTTAGGTTTTCCCTCCCAGCTTCAGGGAATTGCCACCTCCTCCTCTGGAACTGTTTGACCTAGATGAGACGTTTTCCTCTGAGAAGGCCCGGCTTGCTCAGATTACCAATAAGTGTAAGTTTAGCTGATTTTGAAATTTTTGTTTTCTTTTATGAGTATTATTTAACTGTGAACCTCTAAGATTTGATGTAAGAGAAGCTTAGAGATTATTTAGGGAGAAGAAAATATGAACAGATGTATAAAGAAATATTTGTTCATTTCACGTGAACGATACTGGTTGTTTTTCTTAAGGCCAGTTATCTCCATGAGTCAGAACATGGTGCTAAGCAGAAAGCCAAAGGTCTCGGCTTTGATCCCTGTAGCCCTTATTCTGATTTATCGAGTCTTGACCCTGCCTAGCAAATCTAGGTCATGGTCATAAGAACAGTTAGATAAGAAAAATGAATAAGGCCCACAATGAATGTAATAATTGTGTATTGCAAACATATACTAATAAAAACAAAAATTTTAAAAACAAACGAAAGAAAAGAAAAATGAACCAGGGTCTGAGGGTCACAGAAACTTCAAATTGGGAGATCAGTGCACCCACCCTGACCCATGCATGAAGAAATGGGCCCCCAGGCCACACAGCTCAGGCAAGGGGTCCCCTGACTGTTGACTCCTCCTGACGTGCCCTGCCTCCCACACTGCAAACAGCCTGCACACACATGCCCCCCTGTGCTAAAATGGTGACCCTGCTCCTAGGAATCTAATCTAAGGAAATCAATGAAGGTACATAGATTTCATGTACACTATTTATTTTAAAAATACAATAAAATTGGGAGTAGCCTTGTGTCCACAAGCAGGAGTTTGGTAGTAAATTGTGTCACATTCATTTGGTGGGGCGGGGGTCAGGATGTAGTCATTATGAAAGAGATTTACAAAGGCCAGGGAGTAACATGGACAGAATTTAAAAGATAATCCTAATGAAGACAGCAAGATACAAACCTGCACATAGTTGGATCCCTACTATATGACTAGATTTCTTTGTGGTCAAAGACCAAAAAGGCATACACAAAAATAGAAATAATTCAATGTGAATAAAACATTTATTGAATCTGTGTTCTCTGCCAGGCATTGTGGCAGATACCAGGCAATCAAAAATTAGTAAAACATAAAGATTAGTCAGGCAGGTGGCATATCCTGGAATCCCAGCATTTAGGCTGAGATAGGACTCCTGCAAGTTCAGCTTCATAATGAGGCTAAGGCCATCCTGGAATACATTGCAAGGTCCTGTCTCAAAAAACAAAGAAGCCAGGCGTGGTGGCACACGCCTCTAATCCCAGCACTCCGGAGGCTGAGGCAGGAGGATTGCTGTAAATTCGAGACCAGCCTGGGCTACATAGTGAGTTCCAGGTGAGTCTCAACTTCACAGTGAGACCCTGTCTCAAAAACAAAAACAACAACAACAAAAAAAAAACAAAGAAAAAAATATAAGGATTAATTCAGAAAGAATCATAGATTTGTGAAGAATCTGATGCTTTAGCCTATGTAAATTCTTGTAGGCACAAAATACAAAAACAATATAGCTTTGTAAGATATAAATTACAGCTTTAGGACAGGTGTGGTGGCGCATCCCTATAATCCCAGCATTCAGGAGGCTGAAGCAGGAGGATTGCTGGGAGTTCAAGACCAGCCTGGACTACATAAGTGAGTTCCAGGACAGTCTCAACTACATAGTGAGACCCTGTCTCAAAAAAAAAAACCAAGAAAGAAAGAAAGAAAGAAAATGCATATGGTCTCAAGGTCCATCCATTTAGCTATAAATGAAGCTTAAAGAATGAGAAATTATTAGAACTATATACTGAGTTTTTCTTTGATGGCTTAGGATCAAACCCCGGACCCTGTCCATGCTAGTTAAGTGCTCTACCACTAAGCCACACCACCACCCAAAATGTTTTTATTTTTATTTTTTATTTTATTTATTTATTTTTTGTTTGTTTGTTTGTTTGAGACAAGGTCTCACTATGTAGTTGAGACTGACCTGGAACTCACTGTGTAGCCCAGGCTGGTCTTGAACTCTCAACAATACTCCTGCCTCAGTCTCCTGAGTGCTGGGATTACAGGTGTGTGCCACCACACCTGGCACCCAAAATGTTTTTAAAACTTAAATTTCTATCATGACTTTTTAAAATGTACCTTAGCTGGGCATGGTAGCCTATGCCTGTAATCCCAGCACTTGGGAGGCTGAAGCAGGAGAATTACTGCTAGTCTAAGACCAGCCTGGGTTATATAGTGAGTTCAAGGCCAGCCTGAACTACATATGGAGACTTTATCTCAAAAACTAAAATAAATAAAGGGGCTGGGGATTTAGCTCAGTGGTTCCGCTACTTGCCTTACAAGTGCAAGGTCCTAAATTCAATCCCTAGTATAAAAAAAAAAAAAAACAAAAAAACCTAAAATAAATAGATAAAAATTTAAAAAGTAAAAAATGTAAATCAGAGGGGAAGAAAAGACAGACTGTTTTGAGTAGGGCGGTAATGGCTGTCCAACATAGATATAGAGTTGCTGGGGCCAGATACTGTGCACACCTATAATCCCCAAGCACTCTGGGAGGCTGGGGCAGGAAGATTCAAAGTTCTAGTCCAGCTTGGGAAGTTTAGTCACTTAACAAAAAAAACCCTGTCTCAAAATAACAAATGGGGTAAGGATGTAGCTCAGTGCAAAGATTCAGAGTTCAACCCCAGTATTATACCCCTCCCCTGCAAAATGCTGCTGGAAATGTCTTTACAGAAGTTCAGGGATGTGTTGGTGGTGGAATTGTGGGTGATTTTCTTTTCTATAATAATCTTAGAATAAATGCATTTTAAAAACACCTATATGCCCAACTCACAGTGGCACTTGTAGTCAGAGAATTAGTTACTTGATTTCCTATTGGTTGCTCTTATAAATTATAATGTAGGAATGCTGAATATGGGGATTAGGTAAGCCAGAACCAGAACCAGAACCAGTTCACCTTTAGTTTAGTTAGGAAGGGTGGCTTTTTTTTTTTTTTTTTTTTTTGTCTGGTTAAGACAGGGTCTCACTATGTAGTTCAAACTGGCCTTCATCTCATGTGTGGCTTGAGCTGGCCTTGAACTCTCTATCTTCCTGTATTAGCCTTTTATCCTAATTTATAGAAGCAGCACATCTGATATCTCTAGAGTTTGTCACTATTCATGTCCTGGTGTCATGTCACCCTAGGGAGTGGTGAGGATCTTGAGAGATGTAGAAACTAGATAAAGAATACCTAAAACACACTAAGTCCTTACTTTGGGAAGGGCAGAAGTCAAGGGTTACACTAATTACCTGAACTGTACTTAGGTACTGAAGAAGACCTGGAATTCTATGTCAGGAAATGTGGTGACATTCTTGGAGTAACCAGTAAACTACCGAAGGATCAACAGGATGCCAAACATATCCTTGAGCACATCTTCTTCCAAGTGGTGGAATTCAAGAAACTGAACCAGGTACAGAGCGTAGGAGGCTCACTGAGGTGGGGGCTCTTCAGGCAGCCGTAGCATCCATACGCTGTGTTTGTCATTCTTTAGTTCTATGCATATTTATTCATTTCACTGTGAAATGAGGGCTGAGGGCTTGGATACATTCCCAGCAGTACTTACCCTAGAGGCATGAAGGACAGACACCCAAAGCCAGAGTAAGGAGCCTGCTGTGGTCTTTTTACTGGTGCCTTCAATTGCATTTGCTATCACTTATCATGGTGGGTGGTAGGAAGTGGTCAGAAACCCCATCCTGGTAGAAAAAATTAATCCTTAGGTTGAGTTCAATCCTACAACCAGAGAAATCCTATGTGTCCCAATTAATGATTCCGAATCTTTAATTAAAATTCAAAACTCCAAAGCCAGGTAGGGTGGTACACGCCTGTAATTCCAGCTGAAGGAGGCTGGGACAGGAGGATTGCTGCCAGTTTGAGGGCAGCCTGGGCTATGTAGTGGGTTCAAGGCCAGCCTGAACTACATAGTAAAACCCTGTTTCAAAAAAATAAAAAATAAATAAATTAGTGATAATAAAATAAAATAAAATTCAAAACAACAAAGAGTTGATATTTTGGGCTGTGTGCTGAAGTGCTGAAATACTGAAATTCTATGCTTTATTCTCTCATCCAGGAACATGATGTGGATACAAGTGAAATGGTATTCCAGAACAATTTCTGAGGACCACGCCTCTCCAAGTGTTTTCTGCCTCCTGAGTTTCTCTTTGTATTTTGAATTGTTCTTCCCTTCTTCACCAGTGTGTAATACTCCTCCTCTGTGAGCTGTAGGTCTGTGCATCTCTTCTAGTGCTTAGGTAGGTAAGGTTTGTAACTACAGAATCTTTATGGAAGAGACATTCCATTTTTTAAAATCAAATCTGTTATTGAATCTGTGCTTTTATAATTTATGAAGCAGTCTGTAATTGAAGTCTTTTTTCTGACTTCCCTTTAGGATTTGAGTCTTTTTATCAAAGATACACATAACTCTCAAGCTTGTTGAAGTGTACTGTATAGCTTTCTGGACAAATTCAAAAGAATACAAAACAAGCCAGACATGGTGGTGCACGCCTGTAATCCCAGCACTGGGGAGGCTGAGGCAGGAGGATCGCTGTGAGTTTGAAACCAGTCTGGGCTACATAGTGAGTTCCAGGTCAGGCTCAAATGCATAGTGACACCCTGTCTCAAAACCGCCCCCCCAAAAAAAAAAAAGAATACAAAACAAACTTAACCCACAGTCTGTCTTTCCCACTGTACCTAAAGCAAAAGTTAAAATAACAGATGCCTTCCTAAGATGGGAAGGTCACTCACCACTTGTTTGCCAGCTATTACAAAATATAACCATTTAGAGGCTGGAGGCTCCACCCATACTGCCCCCATGTTTCTGAACTCCTGAAGCACTCACTTCTGTTATTTAAAATGTGACAGACTGTCCTAAGGAGCTAGATGGTGTTGTCATGGGACAATGGGAAAGACTGCTTCTGCTTGAGTAGGGTAGTTGTCTGGAAATGCAGAAGAGCGTATTGGAATACACTGGAGAACTTCGGGGAACCCTGAATGCTAGACAGAATATTGTGCAACCATTGAAAGTGCGTAAGGGATATGGCACAATGGGAATCATTTAGCTGGTGGGTTCAATAAAGATGGAAACACCAGCAAGCGTGGTGGCGCATGCCTATAATCCCAGCACTCTTGAAGACTAGAAATTTGAAGCCCAGCCTGAGCAATTTAGTGACTTAGTGAGACTCTGTCTCACAGTAAAAAAAAAGGGTTGAGGACATGCAGTGCAAAAACCTTGGGTTTAATCCCTAGTACCAAAGCAAAGAAAAAGGGGGAAGAGCAAAAGGAGGGCCATTTAGGAGACAATGTGATACAACTACAAGAGATAGTAACATGGATGAGGACTAAACTGCTGCTGGGGATTTAGCTGGTTCTGCTGTAACGCCTCCCTCACAAGCACAAGGTCCTGAGTTCAATCCCTGGTACCAAAAAAAAAAAAAAAGTTGTCTTTCTTTTTTTTTGCCATACTGAGGATTGAACCAGGGCCTTCACACTGAGCTACCAATCTACATCTCCAGCCCTTTTATTATTTTTTATTTTGAGACAGGATCTCACTGAATTGCCCAGCAGAGCTAGAATTTGGGATCTCTCTGCTGAAGACATTCAGTGTGCTGGTTACAGGCATACACCACCACACCCAGCTGGAAATGTGGCATTTTGAAACAGATTTGATCTGGGATGGAAGTTTGAGCACTCCAGAAGGCTGGAAAAAGTTCCACTTTAGCCTGAGTAATTTAGCAAGACCATGTCTCCAAATAAATACCAAAAAAGGCAGGGAATGTAGCTCAGTGTAAAGGCCCTAATTGGTTTTTGTTTTGTTTTGTTTTGTTTTGTTTTTTGAGACAGGGTCTCACTATATAGTTGAGACTGACCTGAAACTCACTTATGCAGCCCAGGCTGGTCTTGAACTCACAGCGATCCTCCTGCCTCAGCCTCCTGAGTGCTGGAATTACAGGCGTGCACCACCACGCCAGGCCAAAAGGCCCTAGTTTCAAACCCTCATACTACCAAAAAAATAGACCAAAGCCAAAGCAAAACAAACAAAAAAAACCACTGAATTTGACTGAATCTTGGATTGAAAAATCATCTACAAAACATCTTAAGGACATTTAGGAGACACTCTGGATATGTATTATTTGTTTGAGACAGTATCTCGCTGTGTAGGTCAGGCTGACTTTGAACTCACTATGTAGCCAGGTTTAACTTTATTCTTTAAAAAACCAGGCATGGTGGCACACGTTCACAATCCCAGCACCTTGGGAGGCTGAGGCAGGAGCAGTACCCAACCTAGCAATTTAGTGACTTAGTGAAACTGTCTCAAAATAAAAAATTAAAAATAAATTTAAAAGGCTGAGGCTATAGCTCATTGTGAAGGTCCCCATAGCTAGGGATTTTCTTAGTTGGCAGCCCAGTTTGATGGTAAGAGAAATTAACCTAATGTCAAATGGTAATTGGGCTGGGTGGTGCATAATCCAGCACTGGTGAGGCCCAAGAGGGGTATGTAAACTGGAATCCAGCGTGGGCAACCTGCGTGCATAAAGGTAACAAACAAGAAAACTATAGGAGTTTGTCAAGGGGGCCCCTGATCCACACTGGGAAGTTAGGGAGGACGTGCGGCCCGGGCCAACTAAACGCGAGCTTCTGTGACCCAGCAGAGGCTGGCGATGTTCCTGCTATGCTCCCTCTCATCCCCTGGGTCTGTGGCTGGTTCCCGCACCGCTGAGGGGGCCGATGCCTCGCAGGGGTGTCGGGAGGCTGGAGCTGGGCTCTGCGCGCGGGTCCCCTGCGTGACGTCAGGCGGCGCAACTCCCGTGATGCTCCGCGCGGCTTCGGGTACTGACGTCACTCTTCCCTTAGGCTTTTGACTTTCGCTTGCTCTAGAGGCGCCGTGCTACAAGCCACGTCATTGGTTTGAGTCACCACGGGCAACGGGTTGACGGGTTCACGCTGAGATTTGGCTTTCCATTCTAAGAGGAACTAGAGGATTCCGCCCGGTACAGCCGCGGGTTGGGTGAGGCTGTGCAGATGGTCTCTCACCTCTACGCCTTATCAACTGGCCGTTCCTCTCCAACTTTGTACCAAACTGCCTGCCAGCCTGCCTGCTCTGTTATTAATAGCAAGTGACTATTAGGAAACACAGAACTAAGTCTTGGCGAAAGCCAATGCTCCAGCAGGCCTAGGGAAGCGGTCGGGGGCTTGTCTCAGGTCTCATCTCCCTCACCAGAAACGCGAGGGATCCGGATTGGATGGTTCTTGAAACCGAAGTTCTCTGCTTTGTAGTAGCATTCATGAAATCAGAACCGAAGCTGGCATAAGCCTGAATAAACTCAGGCAGGAGTAGATGGTCCTGTCCTGTGATCAGTGATTCCGGAGAAGCCCCTAGAGTCATGCAAAAAGTTTTTATCCATCACTTCTCAAAGCTTCCTTGTGTAGCCTTGTGATCCCTCCTCTGCTGCATTGTCATTTTAGATTGGCTGCTGTCGCCACAGATCGGTTTGTAGATTCTAAACTTTTATTTTCCTCATTGAGTTTATTGGTACATTTTAGGTATACAGTACGGTTACACACATTATTGGGATCGTGTACCTTTACATGACAGGTGGTCTTGGCTCTCATTTTTTCCCCTTGTCCCTGCCCTCCAACCCCTTCTCCCCTCCCCAGATTCTAAACTTTTATATAAATGGAATCATACAGTGTGTTCTCTGGCTTATTTCAGCATAATTGAGATTCACTTACATCAGTAATTTCCTCTTTTCGTTGAGTAGTATATCACTGGTTGGATATCTGTAATTTTATATCTGTAATTTTTTTCCCCAGCAGTTGTTGATGGATATTTCAGCTTTCCAGTTTGACGACATTACAAGTAAAGATATGTAGGGTCAGGGATTTAGCTCAGTGGCTCTGTACCTGCCTCCCAAGTGTAAGGTCTTGAGTTTGATCCCTGGTATTGGGGAAAAATAGTAAATAACAAGTAAAGCTATGTAAAAGCTCTTTGTATGGGCATATACATTCTTTTTTTTTTTTTAAAGAATGGCTGGGTCATAAAATAGGTGTGTACTTGTTTCGGTTTTTTTGTACCAGGGATTGAACTCGGGTACTTGTGCTTGAAAGGCAGGTGATGGCACCACCGAGCTAAATCCCCGGTAGGTGTGTACTTGTAAATTTGTTTTGTTTTGCAAATGGAATTTGGGTGCAAGTTACTCTGACCTTGGTATGTAGGCTTCAGCCAGGCTTGCGTCTATAAACAAGCCAATTGTGGGGTTAACTTCACAGCCTGCTGTGGGGCACAATCAATATTGCAGTCCCCTGCACTTTGGAGACTGAGGCAGGAGAACTACTATGGTAACCCAAATGGCTGGGCATTCAAGGCCTTGGCCATTAATAGAGCTAATGTTCTGCTCAATATCTTCCCTACCAAGTGGTGATCTTTTATAAAGAATATGGATGTTTGGGTTGTCTCAAAACTAAAGTCTGGCGCCAGGCTCAATCTTTTCAGTATACTTTTACACACAGAACTTCCCAAATTTACATTTAAAATTGTGAGCACTTTGCTTCAATCTACCAGCCCATTTTAACTGTGTGACCAGGGCAATTTGCTTAATAAATTTTTTTTTCTGAAGAATGACCAAAATCAACTCCTTATAACTGTATAAATGTCAGAAACATGCTATATACATACATAAGTGAACTAATCTGCTCACTGATGTGTGTATGGACTCCCTGGGTGTCTCATTGGGCTGAATTACAGACCATGCATAGTAATAGATTTTTAGTATAAAGTGTAGCATGATGTTAAAGCATTTTAGCTTTTACACATATATTGCAGTTCTGGGTGACCATGGAGAAGAATCAGCAGCATTGTGGTGCTAAGCTAGGTTGCAACCATTTGTACTACACTTTTCTTGCCTTTAAAATGTGGGTTGGGGATGGAGCTTAGTGGTAGAGCTCATGCCTGATGTCCTGACAGCTGAGAGTTTGATCCCCAGCACTGCAAACAAAAAGTTAAGGAGGCTGACCTGTAAGTAGGCAAAAAGGCAGGTGACCTTGCTGGGCAGAGTGATACACTCCTGTAATCCCAGCACCCTGGAGGCAAGGAAGATGGCAAGTTTGAGCCCAGTCTGGGAAATTAGCAATTCAGCAAGACTTTGTTTCCAAAAATAAAAGTGCTAGGGATGTAGTAGTGCAAAGGTCCTGGATTCAATTACAATAGTTTTTTTTTTTTTTTTTTTTTTAAGGCTGTACTTATCATCAGTCAGTGTTTTGCATCTAACGTGGTGCTGGGACCTGAGCATTTGATCTTTCTTTTTCCAGCACAGGGACAGGCCTCGAGTCTAGGACCTTAGGTGAGCACATGATGGGATAACCAAAGGCTGGAGCCTCCACACTCAGGGAGACCACGTCCAGGAGATTTTCCCAGCAGAGCTGAGAATGGATGTGGCTGCATCCAGGATGCTAAGAGTTTTCTCCTGGGGGGTGGTAATAACTGGAGAGGACACACCTGTGGGGGTCACTAGATTATATCTAGCTCCAGTGTGTTCTC